ATGCCGTTCGTGGCCCCGCTGTCGCCCTTTGTGGCCCCCTCGCTGCCTTTCGTGGCCCTGGTGCTGCCCTCAGCGGCCCCGTCGCTGCCCTCTGTGGCCTCGGATTGTATGCCCTTCGTGGCCCACGCTGGCTTCTCTCACGATTTATTCGGGAATCGCGCTGTCGCTCGAGACTTCCTCACGATTCATGCAGGAACCCCGCTTCGGCAACCCGCCTGCTCGACCTCAGAGCCTGGGCCCGACCTGCCCGCTATGGGTCTGCCCACCCGATCTGCCCGTCTGGTTCTACCACTTGTTTTCTGCTCCTTGCACCCCTCCTGCTAATTTCTCTCGTGTTCCATTATTCTCCCTCCCCCTTCCACCCGTCCCCCCTTCCCTTGTTTTAGGGGCTGCACTATAATAGTACGCGTGGCAGGTAAGGAAGATATGCCCCAAGGGGTTACGATCGAAGACGACGAGGGCGGGTACCGAAAGGTTTGGGATATACGTATCGATTGGCACGTGAGCAGATAGGAGCGAGCAGTCTTAACATGGCTGTTGTGTTGCAGCCCTTCGTGGCTCCCTCGCTGCCCTTCGTGGCCCCGTTGCAGCCCTTCGCAACCCCCTCACTGCCCTTCGTGGCCCTCTTGCTGCCTTTCGTGGTCCCCTCGCCGTTCGTGGCCCCGTTGCATGCACTTCGTGGTCCCCTCGCTGCCCCGTTGCAACTCTCCGTGGCACCGTCGCTGCCCTTCGTGGCCCCGTTGCAGCCCTTCGTGGCCCCCTCGCTGTCCTTCGTGGGCCCATATATGCATGCCCTTCGTGGCCCCCGCTCGTTCGCGCCCGTCGTGGCCCCAAATGCATTCCCTTCGTGGCCCCGCTGTCGCCCTTCGCGGCCCCCTCGCTGCCCTTCGCGGCCCCGCTGCTGCCCTCAGTGGCCCCGTCCTTGCCCTTCGTGGCCCCATATATGCATGCCCTTCGTGGCCCCTGCTCGCTCGCGTCCGTCGTGGCCCCGTGCGCATGCCCTACTTGGCCCCGCCGTCGCCCTTCGCGGCCCCCTCGCTGTCCTACGTGGCCCAGTTGCTACCCTCAGTGGGTCCGTCGTTGCCTTCTGTGGCCCCGCATTATCTGCCCTTCGTGGTCCCTGCTCGTTCGCGCTCTTCGTGGCCCCACACGCACGCATTCTCTTCGTGTCCCCGCTGTCGCCCTTCCTGGCCTACTTCGTGCCCTTCGTGGCCCTGCTGTCGTTCTCTCTCTCGCTCTCGCTATCGCTCTCGCTCGTCACCGACATCGTCGTCGTCGTCGTCGTCGTGGTCGGGCCCCTGTCCGTCGCCCCTGGGGTCGGGCTGCCGCCAATCAGCGCTGCCGCTGGCCAGGCCGACGGTCCGCGGCCGCTCCGCCGCTTGCTGGGGCTCGGCCTGCAGGGAAGAAAAGTATACCCCCTAAAGAGGGTACGATCGAAGACGAAGAGGGCGGGTATCAAGGGTTAGGGAAATACACATTAACGGGCACTCGAGCAGATAAGAGCGAACAGTATTAAGATGATTGCTGTTGGATGTTAATTACTAAACAACTATTATTGTTGGACCACCCAGGCGCTTTGACGCTCTCGTTTCGGTGCCGACTACATGTTCACTGAAAATGAGGCTCACGCTCGAACAGTTTGTGGGGCGCCAAAACCGGTCCCCCAACAAAAATAACAACAACAACAACAACAACAACAATAACAACAACAACAACAACAACAACAATCATTTTACCCGAACGCGTGGTGTTCTCCCCAGTGCCAGGGTTTTCATACGACACCAGGCAATACCCCCACTTCGTGGGGGGGCATTACAAGCTCTACCAAATATCCAAACGACTCTTCGCGACCACCCAAACCCAGCTTCCCGCCCTATGACGTTGGGACACTTCACTTCGTGGCGTGCGGACGACCGTGGCTACTACACTGGCGTGGGGTACACACCCACAGAACTTGGTCACGAATCCGCAAGAGCGCGCGGGATGAGATTTTGACATTTTTTTGTTGAAAAACCATTAGTTTTTTGATGTTTTTATGTTGAAATCGCTCCGAACACTAAGCTTTTGGAAGGATTTCGTCTTGCGCGCGCGAATGTCCACTTTACCTTATTTTTTGCAAAGGATTCTTGAAATTTGATTATATTAGAACAAGAAATGTCATTTTATAGTGTTTTTTGCAAGGGAAAGCGGGGGGGAACAAAACAACCGGATCTTGATCACATCGAATTACCTGAGGCTTCCTCACGAAAATGATGAAAATGTAGCTGCGGCCTAGGCGGCGCAGGGGGGCCGTGCACCAGGGGTCCCAACAATAATTATTCTTTAGAATTAATAATGTTCAACAACAACAACAACAACAACAACAACAACAACAACAATAACAACAACAACAACAAAAACAACAACAACAACAACAACAACACCACCACCAACAACAACAACAACGCTTCCGCTCGAGACTTCCTCCTTTTTTGTTCAGGGCCGGTGCTCTTGCTCGCCGCCGAAAGCCGCCGTCACAACAAAACCAGCGCTACCGCTCGAGACTTTCTCCCGTTTTACCTTGGACTGGCGCGCTACTCTTTCTCTCATCGGCGCCGCCCTCAGCAACAACAACGCTCCCGCTCGAGATTTCCTCCTTTTTAAACTCAAGGCGGTGCTCCTCCTCGCGGCCGAAAACCGCCGTCCCAACAAAACCAGCGCTCCCACCCGAGATTTCCTCCCGTTTTGCGCTGGATATTCTCTTTTGAATTGGCGCCGCTCCCAGCAAGAACAACGCTCCCGCTCGAAGCTTCCTCTCTTTTTCCTTGGGACTGTGCCGTTCCTCGCCGCCGACAGCCCCCGTCCCGAATAAACCACGGTTCCCGCTCGAGACTTCCTCCCTTCTTACTCAAGGCGATGTTCCTCCTCGCCGCCGACAACCGCTCGAGACTTCGCTATGTTTTACGCTGGACTAGCGCCCTACTCTCTTCAGCATCGACGCCGCTCCCAACATCAACAGAGGCCCTGCTCGAGACTTCCTCCCTGAATATTCAGGGCCAGGTCCTTGTCTCGCCGCCGACAGCCCCCATCCCCACCAAGGTAATCCTGTCGCTCGATACTTCCTCGTGCTTTACCCTTGGCTGGGGCTCCATTGGCGGTATCGCATCGGCGCAGCAAGGCGAGGGCATGCGTTTTCGAAGCGGGATATATCGAAATGATTCGGGGGAGGTGTTTGCAAGACCTCATTGGGCGGGAGATCTGGGAATGGGCATAGCAGACCCCGCAATAGAACAAGAGTCCCCCATGGTGGGGATGGTTATCATGATGGTCGCATGCTTCGTGTGGAAACATCGCGCATGAGGGTGAAATGATTGCTGTTGTTGATTTTGAACTCTCAATGCTGAAGGATAAATATTGTTGATGCCCCCCCTCCGGTGACCATTGTGTTTTTTTCCATTGGAGTGCTTCCCCCGGGGCTCGCACTCTCTCACTGGAAAGTCACGGGGCTCAAGCTGTGCACCTGGCCCCCGGCTCACAACAACAACTGCTCACGCCTGATACTTCCTCACAATGGATTCCCAAATCGCGCTCTCGCGCGGGACTTCCTCATATGTACGCATCGCGCTCTCGCGTGGAACTTCCTCGCAGCTTACTCAGACGATGCGCCCTCGGCGCTCAGGAATCGCGTTCTCGCTTTGGCTCCTCTCACGATTTACTTGGGAATCGCGCTATCGATCGAGACTCCCTCGCGATTCATGCAGGACCCACGCTTCAGCAACCCGCCTGCTCGACCTCAGAGCCTGGGCCGCCCTCCCGACAAGCCCGCTATGGGCCTGCCCACCCGGTCTGCCCGTCTGGTTCTACCACTTGTTTTCTGCTCCTTGCCCCCCTCCTGCTAAGTTCTCTCGTGCTCCATTATGCTCCCTCCCCCTTCCACCCGTCCTCCCTTCCCTTGTTTTAAGGGCTGCACCAAATTCACGTGACACGTAAGGAAGATTTACCCCCAAGTAGGTACGATCGAAGACGACAAGGGCGGGTACCGAGGGTTTGGGATATACGTATTGGTTGGCACGTAAGCTGATGGGAGCGAACAGTTTTGAACATGATTGTTGTTGGTGTTGTTGTTGTTTTTGGATTCTCACTTCTAAATCAAAATTACTGTTGATCCCCCCTTCGGTGCACCTTGTGTTTGTTCAATTAGAGTGCTCCTCTCTGGGCTCGCACCCTGTTTTTTATCAGAGAAGGTCATGATCATCAAGCTGTGCTGCTGGCCCCCAGGTTTACAACAACAGCGGATCCCGTCTGATATTTCCTCACAATGCATTTCAATGTTGCGCTCTCGCAGAGGATTTCCTGTCAATCTATTTTAGACGCCGCGCACTCGACGCTCAGGAATCGCGCTCTCGCTCCGGCTTCTTGGACGATTTACTCGGGAATCGCGCTCTCGCTCGAGACCTGCTCGCGGTTCATGCTGGACTCACGCTTCAACAGCCCGCCTGCTCGACCTGGCCGACTGGGCCCGCCTATTAGGGTCTACCCGCCAAGTCTGCCCGTCTGGTTTTGCCGCGTGTTTTCTGCAACTAGCTCCTCTCCTGCTAATCTCTTTCGTGCTCCATCCTTCTCCCTCCCCCTTCCATCCGTCCTCTCTTCCCTTGTTCAAAGGGCTGCACAAATTACACGTGGCAAGTTAGGAAGATATACCCCGAGGGGGGTATGATCGAAAACGGAGAGAGCGAGTATCGAGGTTTTGAGATACACGTGATGAATGGAACGCGAGCGTGTAAGAGCCAACAATCTTAAAATGATTGTTGTTTGTTGTTGTCGTCGTCCTCGCCCGCGACCCCCCCGAGAACCCCCTGCGACACACCCCGCGACCCACCCGACTCCTACCCCGTGCTCGCCCCTTCACTCTTGTATGCGCAACTGCGGGGTGCTATGCACGGTTTGTACTTCGCCGCCGACGGGTGGTCTACCAGAGCCTCCCTGGAGCATGGCGTGCCGCGCGCGAGCGGCTCGGTCGGTCAGTCCACGCGCACCGACTGCAGGGCGCGCTGCTCGGCCCCGTCGGGGCGCGGGCGCGGGTACATGCAGTACGCGGCCACGCCGCAGGCCAGGAAGAGGGCGATGCCGCCGAAGGCGGAGAGGCTGGCGACCATGGCCGTGTCGGTCTTGTCCTCGTCCCCCTGCGCCTCCTCGGGGGCAATGGGGGTGGGAAGGGGCCTGGGGGCAAGATAGGTGCGGAACCAGCGTGCTACCAGAATAAGCGCTGAATAACAAAAATATGAAGGGACTCCTCTGGCCACGGCGAGCCTTTGCCACAACAGGTTCCCCACCTAGACTGAGGAACGGCCCGAAAACCAAAAGCCCCTCCTGAATCCAAAGTGGTCCTTCTATCACCGTCTTGACTGTATATGACGTCCATTCTAACTGCGCAGTCGGAAGAGGAGAGTTGCGTGTGTGTATATAAATGTGTATATATATATATTCACATACGTTTGTGTAAGCATATATACGTATACGACGGGGGATCAGCAGGTGGCGTGGGAGCAGAGGGGCCCGGGGGGAGACGAGGGGGAGGGCCCTGCGATCCGGGCGTTGCATGCTCGTCCACGCCACACTGATCGTCTTCGCCCAAATTCCGGGCGCCAGTGCTCTCACATGTCGATCAGAGCCGACAGTTGCAGCAGAATGTTGGGGTCCGGGGCTCTGGTGGTGATTTGTCGCGATGGTGCTGCAGCTTTTTCGCGTCGTCGAGAAGGGCAGAAGAGAGGATGAAGGGGGGGGGGGCGTGGGACGGGTGAGTGGGGTGGAGGGTGCAGTCGATCTGGGGGTGTCCGGGGAGCGGAAGGCCAGGGCCAACGCCCGGCTGAGCTCTGCGACGAACTTGGACCCAGTCTGGGGACGCCGCCCCGATCTGGACCTCCTCAGCCTCATCCCTATGACTAGCTATCCTCAATTTCGTCTTCAGCAGCACGGTCAGCATCCGGTATCATCTTAATCCCCCTTCCGATCTCTCAGTGTCTTCCAGACACTTCAGCGGGTTCCCTCCTCACCTCCGCCTGCAGCGCGGGCTCGAGCGCAGGAGCGAGCCGCAACCCGCCCCGCGGCGTGCAACGCGCGCGGCCCCGAAGCTCCGCTGGCACCGCTCTCGACGGGGAGCGCGTGTGGGGGTCGAGGCGCCCTCCTTCAGGCACCAGGCCAGGGAGGCAGTAGCCCAAATGGCAACAAGCTGGGCAAGCATGTCGGCTACTCGCAACAGCGACCCCGGGCAAGAATGGCCTTCGGTGCGCTGCCTTCCCGTCGCCGCATGCGATGCGGCGGCAGCGACTTGCGTGTTCGGTTTGGTACCCCCCTGCCCCCCCAAGGTTGCGGACCAAAACTCACACCGGCGAAGGGCCGATCTTTACGCGCAGCCGCTCCGAGACGGGCCCGCCCTCTTTCAGACATACGGCCGAGAGGGGGCAGCGGCTGGGATGAGAGCGGGCTGATTGTGGGTATCTCCGATGCCACGCGCGAACTCCGGCGACCTTGTCAAGGAGGCCACGGATCAAAGACACACATGCTTGTCAGGACGTCTGACGCTCTGGAACAACCAGGAAAAAACCAGGATGCCTGGTTTCATTCGGCGAGTTTCGCACGCTGGCGGGATTCGCTCCCCAGGCCCCTGGGCGGCCTGGCCAACGAGCTGGCTACCCACTTGAAGCCAGCTTCCAGCTTGTCCACAAAGAAATCGCCACGCCGCCTAGCGCCGAAACGACTGAAGGCGAAAGCCGTGAAGAAGATCTGCCCTCTCACCGCGCCTCCTTCCCTCCCCCTTCTGCTGCTTCTGGCGCCGGCTCGGTGATTTCGGCGCCATGCGCCCCACCGCCGCTGGACGGCTATTAGGAGGGGCTGGATACTCCGCACCCGAGAGCGCAAGCACAAAAGAGAGGGGCTGCGACGGGAGCGGATGTCGCGACGAGGCGAGTGACCTGACGGAACCAGTAGGGGGGCAGGGCTGTCAACCATCTCCTCCTCCTCATCCTCCTCCTCCTCCTCATTATTCTTCTCCTCCTCCTCCTCCTCCAGCGGCCGCGTATCTGCCGCGCGCCGGAAGCGCTTTGATCGGAAGGCGGCGCAACCCCCCCAACCCCAGGACAAGCACGCCGCTCAGCGGCAAGCAAGCCCTGGAGCCGAGGGGGTGCGCCGACCGGGGCCTCTACCTCGCATGCTCGGGAGCACGGCGGCGACGTGCAGCATGGAGCTGCCGAGCGCGAGCGCCTGTCGTCCGCCCCTGGCGCCGTCCGCAGCCCTGCGCCCGCCAGCAGCCGTCGAGACCCAGTGGCCCGGCGCCCTGGGCCCCGCGGCCGCGGCGGGCCCAGCTCCGTTCGCCCCAGCGGCGGCGGCACGTCCGTTCCTCCTCCTCCTGCTCCTCCTCCTCCTCCTCCTCCTTCTCCTCCTTCTCCCCCTCCTCCTCCTCCTCCTCCTCCTCCTCCTCCTCCTCCTCACCCTCCTCCTCTTCTTCCTCCTGCTCCTCCTCCTCCTTTTCCTCCTGTCCCTTTTCCTCCTCCTCCTCCTCCTCCTCCTCCATTCCTTATGAATCAGTCCTCGCTATGGCACCCCGAGGCCCGTCGAAAGCGCGCGCCGGGCGTTTCGCCTGAGACTTCCCCACCACTCATGACCCTGAAGCTGAGAACGTGGCAACAGCTGCAAAGATGGAGGGCGTCGCTTCCAAAATGTGGCTCTCGCCTTAGCGCCGCGAACATTCGTTGTAAAACACTGCCAGGGCTTCACGGATTGAGAGCAGCCGTTTTAAAAATGCGGCTCTCGCCTTAGCGCCGCGCACATGTGTTGTACACCATGCAAGAGCTTCACGGATTGAAAGCGGGTGGTTTTCGACATGTGGTTCTCGCCTTAGCGCCGCGCGCACTCTTTTGAGAAAATTGAAGTTGCTTCGCGGATTGAGGGCGGTTCGTTTCCAAAATGTGGCTCTGGCCTTAGCGCCGCGCACATTCGTTTAAACATGTGCAATACTGCTACGGATTCCCATTGTCAGCGTAAATGTTTTGGAAGAACTCTGGATTCTGAGTTCGCAACAGTTACGCTGATTCGCGGCATTGAAGTCCCAGGAATGGTGTTCTTGCAAGATTTGGGATCGTCAAGAAGCAACACTCATGCTGATTCGTGGCATTGGGGTTCCCAGAATGGTGTTTCGGCACACTTCAGGGTCTTCGAACGGTTCTCTCCCAACGGGGCAGTTCCCTCAGTGGAAATGAACCCTTGTAGGGACCTGTGAAAGGGGAGCTTGGAGGGAAGGTTTATCCCAACATCGTTGATGATTCTTGGGTTTCCACCGGTCCTCCTCCTCCTCCTCCTCCTGCCCCTCTCCCTTGTTCTCCTCGACGCCGTCGTCCTCGCGACGGAGCGGCGGCATGCCTGGGGGTCGGGGAGTGGCCTCCGCCCGCGGACGGTGATCGCGTCTCCTCCGTGCTGGCTCCCTTGCCCACAGCCTGCCTGTACGCCTGCTCCGCCGAGTCCACGTGCGCCTGGGGAGGGGCGAGGAGGCCATGTGCGGTCAAGAACGCTTGCTCAGCGTGTCGCAGCGGCGGCCAAAAGGGCCACACCATGCCCTGCAAAATCCTGTAAGCGCATAATGTTTCGCTCCTCACCGCGTGGCGGGAGGCCGGAAAAGCTTACAACGTTGACGCTCGGGGACTTGAACGTGGTTAGCGTGTCGCGTCGACGCGTGGTTGGCCAGAGCCGCCGGCGCGACACGCTGAGCAAAGGTTCCTGCCCTGAACCTAGGTCGTCTAACTTCGGGAACCACGCCCCGCGATGCGCGACGCGCGGACATCTTCGCGCCCTCGCAAGGCCACCGTGGAGAAGGGCAACTCTCTGGCCCAGGCCGCGACACGCGAAGCGCGACTACCTTCGCGCCCCTGGGAATGACCCACAGTTACGTGAATATCTTGCTATTCGAATGTTTGCCGGACTGTCAGTGGGCTCGAGGCTGGGGCGCGGGTCGCTCTAGCCGGAGACTGGCTGATTCATCCGATGGCGACTCATCTGCTCCGACTCATCGCATGAATGAATACCGGATGAAATTCGCACTGGATGAATTAGGCACCGGATGAGTTTTGCACCGGATGAGTTTGGCACCGGATGAATTTGGCACTGGATGAAATTGGCACCGGATGAGTTTGGCACCGGATGAATTTGGCACCGGATGAGTTTGGCACTGGATTAATTTGGCACCCGATGAGTTTGGCACCAGATGAGTTTGGTACTGGACGAGTTTGGCACCGCATGAGTTTGGCACCCGAGGAGTTTGGCACCGGATGAGTTGGGCGTTTCTTGTTATAGTGTGAGATCTCGTTAGTTGGCGGGGGCGCCAGTGGGATGATGTCAGGGATTCTTCGACAGACTCGCTTGAAAAGCTGCGCTGTCTAGAAAAAGGAAACAACCTACGCATAAAATTTCGGAGGCTCGCGCGGAGATCTCGAGTCGGCGCTGGACCGCTCCAGGGTTGGGCCTGGCACGCGACGGGCGGCGCCCGCCCGGATCGGGACCCGATGCCGACGCAAGAGATCCGAGAGGGCTTCCGAAAGTGCATGTGTATGCGTATCAGAGAATGGGTGGATTCGGTTGTGTTCGGGATTCGGTTGTCTGCAATGGGGCCAATGGGACAGGCGGACAGCGACGACGGCGACGGCGACGACGACGACGACGACGAGAGCGACGAGGACGAGGGGGAGGAGGAACAAAAACGACGACGGGGGGGCGCAAGGCCAGCACACCCATCCGTCCTATCGGCCCGAGCTAAGAGCAAGGGCAGAAGAAAGAAACGCATCGTAGTCACATTGGAGCCATATTGATACAACCTTGGGGTCGTCAGCTAGGGTTTGAAAAAGGGCCATATTGGGACAATCTCGAAGTCGTCTTGGGCTCATGGGGTCGTCCTGGGGCCACTCAACATCGGGGTCTGGCGGCAGCCTTAGTTCAGTCGGAAGACAATGGATTCGTCTCGGTGTTCTCTTGGGGCCGCAGGGTTGCTCTGGGGTGATATTGCAACCCTATCTTGGGCTGACAAGGGTAATCTCGTGATTTTCAAAACCCTGTTGGGCCCATATTGTATTCATCTTTCCGTTGCAGCCTCTTTCGTTGCTGTTGCTACTGATGTTGTTGTTGTGGTTGGCGTCGATGCTGCTGATGCTGCCTGGAGTGCCCGTGGTGCTGGTGCTGGCGCTGTGTAAAATATCGGGCCCTTTGGGGACTCCTGAACATCTTTGGGCCATGCGGGAGCCCTCTGACGGCCCTTAAGAGGTTTCCGAGAGGGCCAATAATTCAACGCACATTTAGCACACATCGCCCCCTTCATGGAGAGCGTCATGAGTTAAATTTGCGTTGAAACTCTATCATTTTGAAGCCGTCTTGGGGCCCTCGCCCTCTTGGAGCCCTTCGAGGGCCTAAGAGGCCTCCAAAGGGGCCAATATTTCAACGCAAATGGCAGACAAACCGCCTCCTTATTGGAGAGCGTATTCTGTCAAGCTCGCGTTGAATTCCGGGCCCTCTTTTAAACAAACCCAATAGAAGGCCCAAGAAAAGTGGAAAGTAATGGTACAGGGAATGACCAAGATATAATAAGCTGGGAGCCGTACTCTTAGGATACCGCCGGCGACGTATCGAGGCGTCCCGCAACTCATCCATTGATGGCAAGCAAGACGAGAGGTAAGAGAGGAGCCATGAGATAGAGGGGGGAGCATAGATAGACGTGGCCTTTGTCCGATGATATGATCCCGCGGACGTGCAACTAGCAAATAGGACAGCGCTGCGCTGAGCCAAGAAAGCGTCGGATATAGCGTTCGCTATACAGCCTCTCCTTAAACCTCGTTCAGAGTTGGGAAGGGGGGGGGGCCGAACGCTAGATATTTTCCCGAGTGAATTACATCAAGGAGAGAAGAAGGCTAGACATTCTTTGATTTTTTATCATATAAAAAACATCCCCAACAGCGCATAAGCAAGTGCAGGAAAAAACCGCACAGAGTAGCAGGGCTGGTCGTGGCCTATTGCCACGACCAGCCACAAATAATTAGGGGTGGCCACGGGCAAGATCGCGCGATCATCCGCAAATGATGGAGGTGGGCGACTGGCCACCTGCCAGCCGTCAAGGCGTGCGTGTGACCAAGCGGTCAGACCCCCTCTAGAGTAGAAAAGGGTTCATGCCTGTGTCTGGGCACCCCTGGTAGCTGTGACGCTATGAGTATCTATGCCTGTGGCCAGGCAAAAATGACTATATGGTAGTTCGACATGCCCGTGTCCGGGCGAGGATAACTACTTGTCTAAGTTGGTCTAGTCGTCAACATTGGTGCCCCTGAATAGGGCGCTCCTTTGTTAGCGCTATGTCATTCTTCCTCTATAGGGCGCGTACTTCTTTGCTTCGTACTTGAAGGATTTTTCCTTCCATCACTTGCAGCAGTAAAGCGCGATCGATACGCCTCTTGGCATGGCCGTCAGCGGTCATGCCTCGTGAATCACAACATTGTACGCTATGAACTATACCTCGGTCCATCATCTGTCTTATCCAGCTGGTGTCTCCCAGCAGATGCACTCGGCCGGCTTCTTCAAGTCTTGAATTTGCAATGGTTCGATGACCGACCCAGCGTCTATGGTAAGGATGGCCTTGATGCTGAGACCACCCGACTCCATAATGTTCTTAAGTTGGGAAGGTGTTAGGGGTCTATATCTAAGTTCACGTAGCGTAGCTGTAGTGGGATAGCAGTCCTCAAGATTTTGAACGGCTGACAATGTTTCAGCTGAGCAGCTGGAGCGTGCCTGCAAGCGATGTGACTTGCAGCATGCGTCAATCAGATGTACTACTGCCTTGCGGTTGGGCGCGTGTCCACGCAGTAAAAGGTTGGCTTATCGGGTGCCATATCCCTGTACTTCGTCATCTTCGCCCCCATCAAGGCGGCGATACCCCGGGTCGCCATGAAGGTCCGCTTCCCCTGTCGGAGACATAAGTTGATATATGAGTTTCTTCGGACCTGGTTGAAGTTTGCGCGCGACGGCGTTGAGTCCTCGCACTTGAAGGTTCGCGGGTTCCTGTGCAGGCTGCAAGGGCACCGCGCAAACAATTAACCGCGCCTGGGTGGCCAACGCATATGCCAAGGCGCCACGTAGACTGATGAACGTGTTGGACACTGTCTTCGCTGCCTTTCTTCCGCCACAGCGCCCGTAAGTTCTGGTTGCTGTATCGGGCGAAGATGTTTGATGTATTCATCCTGATCTAGCTGGGCGCGGCCGCCCTCGGCTCGCGTATTTCACCGCGCATTTGGCGTAGCAGCGTGTTGTTCAATTTGCATGTGCCGAACGTGCCTTCTACGCTGTTGACGGACTGGCCACTGGTTCCTCCACTCCTGCCACGTTGATGTCGTCAACGTGCCCGGCTGCCAGGAGGTCCGGGCCCGCCTCAAATTCTTCATCAGAAGACGTGGGCTTCAGCCCGCGCACTAATGTCATTGTTCTGAGCTTCAGTGAGGATGCCCTGGGGGGCGTCCTTGGCGCCTGCGCCTGGCGCAAGGCAATGAAACAATGCTTTGACTCGTCATCAGGCGAGAACCCGGGCAGTGCGCGCGGCGCCGAGGCCGAACCAGGTGGAAGAGCGCAGCGTGCCATGCGCCCTTGCTCACCGGTGGCCTCTGCCAACTCACAGTAGGTCAGACCCTTCAAGAAAGCCTCGTCGATGTCCATGGATGCTGTGATCCACTGCTTCTTGCGCGCGGCCGCGCTGGCGAGCAGTCTCTGGGTTGCTCGCCGAGCTGTGCCTGAGACGGCTTCTACGTCGAATGCCTCGGCGTCCATAAAAGCCACGAAGAACACGGCGTAGTCGGAGCGTCCGTTCCATTTTGCCCTTGTCGTTCTTGACAAACTTCCACTTGTGTACGTATCTAAAGGTCATGATATTGGAAGCATTCTTGATGCCTCGCATCTTGGAGCATTTGTTTTTCATGCCGTGCCTTCAGTTCGGCGTGCAAGGCCTTGGATATTTTTGTCGGGTTGGTTTGTATTTTGCCTTCGTCAGGAGGTCGTCTCGGCTCTTTTCGCTGCGGCCAAGACATATGCGCGCATTGCGGTTACTTGATCGCTGCGAAGTGACTCGCATTGTTTCTCTTATAGAACGACCTTGGCCATGCCAGCAATAAAGCGCAGCTCGACATACTGGCCGTGGTCGTCCGAGTCGAGATCGCATGTCTCGTCGCATGAATCCAAGGTGCCGGAAAGGATTCGCAGGTGTCGCGATTTCGAGCATGACCTATTTCTGGCAAGGGTCCTTGCTTTTCACTGGTCACAACCGCGAGCGCGTGGTTGTCGGTATCATATTGGTGGGCACCGAACACGCGGACTCCCATGAAGGGGGGTCGAGTAGTTCCGTTTCCTCCTGGATCTCCACATGCCACATGTCCATGCAGTGTGCTTCCAAATCCGTCTCTGAATCTTTAGCAAGCGGTGGTAATCTACCGTCAAAGGCGGACGGTGCCGGAGGTCT